GGCGGAGACCCGGAGGACCCATCCTGGGGGTCCCGCTCCTGCCAGCCTGAGGACAACAGGGACAGGCCTGGCGGGCAGTGCGATGTCAGCCGCTTCCACCCCGGCGGCGGGGCACAGGGAGGGTTCCGGCGGCGCCCGTCTGCGGACTCGGGTTCTTCCCCGGCGTGCCACCTCCGTGCCCCAGCGGAACCCCAGAAATGCCCTGCAACCAAGGCCAGTTTCCAGACTTTTCTATCGAGAGGCCAGCCTCAGACACTTCCCTCATTCCTCCCTGCTGGGCACTGGACAGGCCTGGGGGAAGGCTCGCCCCAGGGACCCCCTCCACCCAGGGACCCCTCCACGCAGAGACCTCTTCCCCCGGGGACCCCTTCCCCAGGGCAGCAGCTTGGCGAGGTGGCTCCAGCCATTGTCCAACTTTTCCCGTCAAGCAAAAAAACCACCTCACACCGGAACCAAACGCCTAAAAGTGAAGTCTCTAGTGGTAATGAACTGTTACCTACATGGTCCCATACAGGGACATAGGGTCCTTGCCTTTGTTCAAAGAAGAAATTACTTAAAACAGATGTGTGAGTGAGCAAACTTTAGTTTCTTGCAGCAAGGAAGCTACTGCCTTCGGGGGTGGAAATTGCCATCTCAAAGAAGGGACATTTATCAGAGAGCTGGACGATGACTAAGGATGACAAAGAATCGAATCGATGCCTTCAAGTGCTGGAGAAGACTCTTGAACATACCATGGACTCATGAACATACCATGCCAACAGATTGGTCTGTTTTGGAGAGGATGAAACGAGTTTCTCCTTGGAGGCTATGATTTTGAAGCTCTGCCTCACATACTTTGGGCATATGGCCAAGGAGAGACCTGTCCTTGGAGACATTATGCTCAGAAGGGTGGAGGGACAGTGCAAGAGAGGAAGACCCCAGAGAAAATGGATTGATACAGTAACTAGGTCAATGGGGGCAGGTGTGTTGAGTGAGTGAAGACTGCCTCAGGACAGGTCAGAGGAGCTGCTGTGAGTCACAGACAGCTTGAGGGCACATAACAACTGTAGTTTAGGAAGTGAAACAAAAATGGACTTTTGAAGGCATCTGTGTTGGAAGAAATGCAGCCAAGCAGCATAACCCTGGTGATACTGAAGAAACTTCCTAAAAGAGCTGCTTTGGGTACTTTGAAAGGTCGAAGAAAGGAAAAGCCTGAATTCTTAAGACAGCTCAAAATCCTGAGAAGTGGCCAGGCAGTTTCTGCTAATCATACTGCACTTTTTCTACATTTTAATGTAAAACCTAACCTGTTCCAAAGATTTACCTGCCAGAGCACCAAACTCATTGCCACTCAATCAGTTCTGACTCAACGGCCATCAGATTTCTGAGATCGTGCATCTTGACAAAAAACTGACCATCTTTCTCCCAAGGAACAGCTGGACTTGAACCCCTGACCTTACAGTAAGCAGCACAACACAAAATGCACCATGCCATAGGACAGTGGATAAGGATCATGTGAGTAGAATTCCAGGCTGATTTGATTCTATTGTGCTTTGCAGACACCGTGTTCTTTCCAGACCAAAGGTTTATGGCAACCCTGCATTGAACAGGTCTGTCAGCGCCCTTTTCCCAGTACCATGTGCTCACTTTTATGTGTCCGTTTGGGTCATTCTCACAGTATTTCAGGCTTTTCCTTCATGGCCTTGCACGCTTCAGAGTTGACGGTATAAAACATCAACATCGCTTTTCTGTGTTCTGGGACCCCAGAATTCATGGCACTCTTTTTATTGTAATTGCGATGGTCAGAAACCAAACCTCCACCATCTCCAAGGTTCCTCTGTATAGAATTTGCTCTTTTGTGTTCAGAAATTGAACGAGTGTCAGTTCCGGACAAACTTCTCTTAGTGCTTTTGACTCCATCCCTAATTCTGATAAAGTCCCTTGAACTATTTGGAAGTGTTGACCCCTGTACAGTTTCCCGGACAGAGGTGACACCTGCTCCCTGTTCTCTTCCTGCAATTCCTTTGTTCTTCCAACATCCTCAGGACTTGTTTATGTTTTCCATTAGCACCCAGTGAAAAGAGTGGGCCCTGTAGGAAGGAGGGGGCAGCAGCAAGTTTTAATAAAAGCAGTAAAGGGTTGTTGTTGTTGTTGTTGTGTGCTGTCGAGTTAGAACTGACGCATAGCTGACCCTCCCGAGTTTTCAGAGGCAGTAAATCGCAAGGAAGGGGTTGCCCCACTTCTGTGGAACAGCTGGTGGATTTGAACTTCATGCCTTTGGGATTGTTGTACAGCTTATTACCACTTGGCCACCCTAGATCCCTACGAGGTCATTAGGAATAAAAAAGCAGGCTTTGTGCTGCAGTGGCGTGTGCAGACCAACCTGTCTTGTGCTGACCTAGGTGCTGTACTCCACCTGTTCCAACTGCAGTAGAACATCCTGTCTGTTTTACCTTTCTCCTGTTGTTGGAGGGAAAGGGCTAACTCCCTCAGTTAATCACCTGGTGCTCCTGTGTGAGGGAGGTTGCAGTCCACCCAGAGGAAAAGAGTCTGCTGGAAACTGAAAACTCACTGAAACCGCCATGGAGCACAGCTCTCCTCCAGCACACATGGGTCACCATGAGCTGGAGCTGACGTCATGTCGGCTGACTTGATTTTCTGTTGAGCATTTAGTGTGTTCCAGCTCTCCACGTTTGATGTTCTCTTAGGCTGGCTTCTCTATAAAAGCAAAACCAGGAAAGCTTACATACATGTATAGAAAATTGGCTTTCTCTCAAGAAAATGACTGGTGGGCTGGCAAGTTCTAAGATCAGGTCAGATGTCAGGCTGGAGGCTTCTCCTGACTCACACAGTTGCAGGGGCTGAGAGTCCCAAGATTCCCAGGTCACATAGCAATCTGTGGGCTTCAAAGGTACGCATTGGCTGAAGTCCAAAGAACCAAAGGTCTGATGGTGAGGAGACAGGTACAGGATCCAACGGAGGGGGAAAAGCAAGAGAACTTGGCCAGGCGTCCAGATAGATTTCATGTAGTTTACACCTTTCACGAAACTCCCTTTCTGCTCACTCATAGCAGATCTCCTCGTGGAAGTGGTTTCATGGAGGTAAGTTCTCATCACGGAAATTCTTCTATTATATGTGGCCTCATAAGGGAATGACTGGACTACACCTGCAAGCCCAGAGAATCATCGGCAGTCAAGCTGCCCCCACAACCTTGTCCGTCTCAGATGAGCAGTCCTGACATGTCTCTCACCTGGTGCTCCTTTTTTTATTTCATTCTATTTTTGTGTTTCATTGACTATGCAAAGGCATTTGACTGTGTAGCTCATAACAAACTGTGGCTGACTCTGAGAAGAATGGGAATCCCAGAACACTTGATCGTTCTAATGCGAAACTTATACTTGGACCAGGAGGCAGTCATCAGAACAGAGCAAGGGAACACTGCATGGTTCAAAATTGGGAAGGGCGTACGCCAGGGATGCATCCTATCTCCATACCTTTTCAACCTATATGCAGAACAGATTATCCGGGAGGCTGGGCTCTATGAGGAGAAATGTGGGGTCAAGATTGGTGGACGATTTATCAACAATCTGCATTATGCGGATGACACAACCCTGCTTGCTGAAACTGAGGAGGACCTGAAGCACCTGCTGCAGCGTGTCAAGGACTGCAGCCTACAATATGGATTGAGGCTCAATGTCAAAAAGACAAAGATTCTCACCACTGGACCAATTGGCAGCATCAGGATGGATGGTGAAGAGATTGAGATTGTACACAGCTTTAGTTTGCTTGGCTCCATAGTCAACAGTCTTGGCACCAGCAGCCAGGAAATGAAAAGGCGCATTGCCATGGGAAAGTCTGCTGTTAGGGACCTCTCCAAAGTGCTGAAGAGCAGTGGTGTCTCTCTGGAGACTAAGGTGCGTCTGATACATGCCATGGTCTTCGCAATCACCTGTTATGCATCAGAGAGTTGGACAATGACCAAGGAGGATAGAAGGAGAATTGATGCCTTTGAGCTGTGGTGCTGGAGAAGAGTATTGAGAATACCATGGACTGCTAGGAAAACAAATAGATTTGTCCTGGAGAGGGTTAAACTGGGTGGCTCCTTGGAGGCAAGGATTCTGAGGCTCCGTCTAATTTACTTTGGACATGTTGTGAGGAGAGACTGGTCTTTAGAGAGGGACATCATGCTTGGGAGGGTGGAGGGACGGCGCAGGAGAGGAAGGCCCTCTATGAGGTGGATTGATTCAGTGACTGGGATAATTGGGATGGGAGTGTCAGAGACAGTGCGGTTGGCACAGGACAGAGCGGAGTTTAGGGCTGTTGTACATAGGGTCGCTATGAGTCGCAGGCGACTCGACGGCACATAACAACAACAACAATATTTTTGTGTGTGTACCGTCAAATCAGATCTGACTGGTACAGGAGGAGATTGTCCCTCCTTTTCCCAGCAGAGCATCTGGTGGATTCGAACCGTGCACCTCTGAGATTGCAGTGCAGCTTCTTGCCACTAGGCCACCAGAGCTCGCCACACCTGGTGCTCCTGTGTGAGACCTTCTCCAGGTGTTTCCTAGCCTTGGGCCTGCCCTTTGGCAGACACTGCCCAGCATGCTCCCAGGGCCTCATCCACATGGAGAATTTCTAGCTCTCACTCACCCATAGTCCTCTTTGACCCAGCACTCATCAGAGGGGTTTCTCACTACTACTACTACTACTACTACTACTACTACTACTACTACTACTACTACTATTACTACTACTACTTCTACTACTACTACTACTTCTTCTTCGTCGTCGTCGTCTTCTTCTTCTTCCTCCTCCTCCTCCTCCTCCTCTTCTT